TTAAAATTTGGGTGGGAGAATGCACATTTTAATCCCATCAACTGGAACTGAAGGTGTTTTGTTTGTGAATAGGCTGGCCTGGATTTCTTAACAAAACATCCTTCTCTGAAGACTTTGGATAAGTGCTGAGGCTGCTTTCTGCCTTTGTTAAGAGTTTTCTTCTCCATTTTTCTGTTGGGGAAATATAATATTCTGTCTCTTTTAATATTCCCCAAAATATTTCATTCTCTAGGGGTGGAGTGTTTGTGATTACTTCTTACAGTACACTCACACTTTTTAGATCTAACATTAGAGCAAGGGGAGGATGTTAATCGATGAAATGATCCCAAGAGTTTCAGCAAGATTAAAGGATTAAAGGGTTTGCACATGGAAGTAGAGTGGAGGCTTTTAAGAAGAGACCGGACAGCCTCTTGTCTCAAATCTCCTGCCTTGAGCAAGAGGGGTTGGACTAGAAGACCTCTAAGGTCCCTTCCAACTGGGATACTTTATGTAAATATAGGTAGTCCTCGACTTGCAACCACAATTCAGCCCAAAATTTCAGTGTTGCTAAGTGAGACATCTGTTAAGTGAGTTTTGCCCCATTTTACCACGTTTTTGGCCAGAGTTAAATGAATCATTGCCATTGTTAATCATACAGTTGTTAAGTGAATCTGGGTTCCCTGTTGACTTTGCTGGTCACAAAAGAGAATCACAGGACTCCGGGACAGTGCAACCGTCATAAAATAGGGTGCTTTGGAAAGCATCTGAATTGTGATCATGCGACCATGGGGATAGCTGCAATGGTCGTGTGAAAAACAATCATCAAGTCACTTTTTTCAGTGCTGTTGAGTGGTCACTAAATGAACAGTTGTAAACCAAGGAGTGCCTGTAAGAAAAAAGGCAAGAAATACTGTGCACAACCAGGCTGGTTAGGTAGTCTCATTTAATGACAGCCATTGGGATCTGCAAGTCCATTCGTGACTGGTGTGGTCATTAAATACGTCCTCACTAAACCATGCCAACTTACATCTGTTCTAGCCATGGTCATTAAGCAAATCACCATGTTCTGTTCAGTGCAATGTACCACAACTGTGACTTGCAAGTTCCTGTCAATTTTGTTTGTTGGAAGCCAATTGTGGAGGTTCCAAATGGCAATTCTATGACTAATCGCAAGCCAGTGCCATCCCCGAATAACTGTGATGGCCACAACTTTGAGGAACACTTGTAAGTCTACTTTTTCAGCACCATATAAGTGATAACCGAGGACTGTCTATAAAACTGGACATCCCAAAGGGTGCTCAATAGCTATTATTTAAAAAATCCTAAATTAAGCACAGTTGTGTCAGGATAATAAATGGATGGTGCACCACTAGGAAATCCTGTGTTTGTTTGCTAGGTGTGGAAGTTAAAAAAAAAAATCACAGGAGGAAGCAGTGGCATTTCCAAGAAAAGAACATGTCCATAAAGACAACCCTACTATGAAGGAGAACCAGTTTTAAAGCATGTACCACCGATGGAATAAAATCAGGGGAGTGAAAGAATATGTAGAGACTGACATGTTTCAATATAATTCCTTATGTCTTTTGAATTCATCCTGTAGACCATCCCCTTTGACTCTTAGATTGGGTTTCTTAAAGTTTGCTTGATATCTTTATGCGGCCCTATACAAATATCCTGAGGCTTTGCAAGGGTTTCTAACTCCTAACCATGAGAAGAGGAGACATGATAAACATATGCGCTAACATGTGACACCAAGGAAAGTGAGAAAGGAAAAAGGATGGAAGATACATTTACTATTTTAAAGTTTAGAAATTTTGCACGTTTAAATTCAAAGTAAGTTGGAGCCTGAGGCCAAAAGAGCCCCTTGGTTCTTCCAGATGCCGGTCCTGATCTGTTCCTGGTCACCGAGTGTCCTTCTGCAAAGGGATTGCATGCAACATGACCTACCAAAAAAGATTGTAACCTGTCTTTTTGAACGGTGCTGGTGAAATGCACAATCTTGGAATATTTTGACGTCTTCTGATCCCAGCAAAATCAGGATCATTCATCTTGCATAGCTAAAATGTCACTTTTGCCGCTACAAATAAGGTCACTTTTGCCGCTACAAATAATGTTCCTCTCTTTATTTGTAGAATGAATTTTTGAGCCCTGGGAGAGAAGTGAAAGAACAGGAAACTTCTCCCATGTGTTGGGAAGACAGCTTTGCATTACTTTTCTTTCCTCACAACTCATCACCAAGGAGGGAGTGAACTGCAAAAGTATCCGTCCCTTGGGGTTGCTCTCACCTTCCCACCGTCAAAGGCTAATATGGAGGTCCTTAAAAACAAAGATCACCACAGGAGGAGTTGTGAATAAACCTGGAGTTCCTGTGCCCAAAACCACCATCCCTTTTCTCCTCCACTCAATGTTCCTACAGCTCTTTTCCATGAAGGCCACCTGCAAGGCAGAACAGCCTTACACCTGACATTTTACACTGCTTTTGTCACTGCCCTGTTGGAAGGAAAAGTTCCTCTATGGTTCATTCTCTCCAGCCAGGGTGAGAAATCATAGCTGGTGAGGAAAAAAACTTGGTAAGCAGGCTATTCGGAAAGGAGGTTTTATTTCGGAATCCAATGGTCCTGGGACAGCAATGACTTCCGGGTCAGCTAGACGCCAGCTAGAGAGATATTTTTATACCTTTTACAGTGTTTCAAAACCTGAGGTTTGCTTTTGTATATCTTCATTATTTGATTGGTGGTGCAATGGTTTCCCCCCTTAGTCCTAATCCTGTCAAGAAGTGTGATTTTCTTACTTCTTTCAGATAATGCGCCCTTAATCCTGTCAAGTGGTGTAGTTGTTTTTAATTCTATTAATTTTGGTTCCTCCGTGACTTTTAGCCGGATTTTATCAAGGAGTCAGCCAGCCCAAGATAATGTTATAATAACCGGAGCTATTCAGTTTAAAGAAGAAACAATGAATTTATTTCATGAACGGGACTTATGCAGGCTATTCGCCGGAGGTTTATTTCTGTTAAGAAAGAGGTGAAAAGAAAGAAAACGAGAGATGGTATTTTTATTCTCTGGGGGTTCTTTTCTTTTCTGGCTTCTAGGTTTAATCCTTGCTCGTCAGGAAAGAAGCCAGGGAAACAGAATTTATCTTGGGGAATCTCCTTTTTCTGGAGGGGGGGGGGACACTATTTTTCCCACAGCCCCAACCTCCCCCAATATATTTGCTATTCATATGGTTCCACTTGCGTGCCTCATTCTTGGCACAATCTGAACAGACATGCTTGGTGCACTGTTAGGAAAAGATGAACTTTGAACACCCTCTATTTTTCTTCTCTTGCTTTCTCCTTATACGAGGAGCCACAATCTCTAACTATAGCTCCTATCCCCGAGAGATGCTGGCTGGGGAATTCTGGGGCTGAAAATCTCAGGGCATCCAGGGAGAAAAAGGCTGGGACTCTGTACGTGGCACTTCTATCATCTACCATGAAAGAAATAAAAAAGAACACTCCCATTCTTTTTACATTTTTTCATAATTGTACAATTTCTGCAAAAATAAATATCCAGCAACTTCTGCTGCTGCTGCCCAGATAGCCATTATCAAACTAATATGTTGCAATTTTTTTTCTTCTCTGCTTCCTATCTAATACCATTTCATACTTGCCTACAAAAAAACCAGGCATATTCTATGTAGTCAAATTAAATAATCATTTCTCAGCTAGACTTACGATGGGACGTTAGAAATTCAAGCCTCCTCTACACTTATCGCTTTGGGTCTCATGTGGATTTCCTTGTGTGTGATAAGGGTGGACCGTTTCCTGAAACACTGTCCACATTCAGGGCACTCAAATGGTTTCTCCCCTGTGTGTAGAAGCATATGATTTAAAAGGCTAGTCCGAATACTGAAATCTTTCCCACAGTCTGGACACTCGTATGGTTTCTCTCCTGTGTGAGTCCTCTGGTGCATCATGAGGTTGGAACTCTGGCTGAAATTTTTCCCACAGTCAGGACATTCAAAAGGTTTCACTCCGGTGTGAGTCCTCTGGTGTCTCACTAGGCTGGAATTCCAACTGAATCTTTTCTCACAATCAGGACATTCAAAGGGTTTCTCTCCGGTGTGAGTCCTCTGGTGTTTCACCAGAGTGGAATTCTGACTGAAACATTTTCCACAATCAGCACATTTAAATGGTTTCTCACCTGTGTGAGTCCTCTGGTGTACCACCAGGCTGGAATTGGTACTGAAACTTCTTCCACAATCAGGACATTCGAACGGTTTCTCACCTGTGTGACTCCTCTGGTGTGCAATGAGATGAGAATTCCAATTGAAACTATTCCCACATTCAAGACATTTAAAGGGTTTCTCGCCTGTGTGAATCCTCTGGTGGCTAATAAGGTTGGAATTGTTACTGATTTCCCCCCCACAATCAGAACATTCAAAGGGTTTCTCTCCTGTGTGGGTTCTCTGGTCCCCCTCGTCATGCTCCCTAAAGCAGTTACCATATTGGGAGTGCTTGTAGGACTTCTCTCCTGTGTGGGCCCTTCCAAGGACCACAACAGAGCTGCTCTGTTCAAAGGTTTTGCCACATTCAGAGTATATGTAAGATTTTTCTTCAGCCTGGATCCTCTCAGGCATAATCAACTGTGATTTGCACATCTATGGATCTCTTCCACAACTCATATTCCACAACTCATATTCTTGAGGAGGTCCAAAATATGGATGATCCCTTGTTCAGTTGTGCTTTAATCCAAGCTGTTTTCTTCCTTCCAGAGCAAGGCCTGCAACACTGTCTGCTTTACGAGGCTTTCCAAGTGACCTTTTCCTCCCCAGTAACTTCAAGGTATTTCCCTCTTTTGCTGAAGGAAAAAATAATAATCTCCTGTGACTTTTCATGTAATGTTTGTTTGAATTTCACACTCTACTTTTCCGAGCTAGAAATCTCTTCTTGATTTTCTCTCGCTTGTCTCTCACCTGTTGAGGAAGGTGAAGAATTGTGTGGCTCTCTGAAGGAAATGGAAAATATTTTGATTTCTGACTGACTTGCTTTGCTATTCAGTGTTGCTTGTTATCCTCAGTTGTGCATAGTGCTCTTATTGCCATCCTCTTTGCCTATAAGATTAAAATAAAAGGGTATCTTTAATTGTGTATAAAATGGTTTCAGAAGATAAAAAAAAAGAAAACGTTTACATTACAATGACAAAGCAAACATGACATAATGCTCCAATAAGCTTACACTAATCATGACTAATTTGACACATGGAAGACTACCCAGATCCAAGTTTGAACTTGTTGACTGGGTCAATCACAAATACTTAGCAGAGACTGTTTTCAAATACAGTCAAGTGAGGAAGAAATTACACCCTCTTTAATTTCTATGCTTTTACTTATCATGACATAAAAAATATCATCACAACAGAAATGTTTCAATCTAGTTGCTTCTTATAGCAATTATGAGGGTCCCCTGCAGGGCAGAACAGATTTTCCACCTGAAATGTTATACTGCTTTTGTCACTGCTCCAACTTTCCCCAATATATTTGCTATTCATATGGTTTCTTACACTTGTGTGCCTCATTCTTGACATAATCTGAACAGACATACCTTGTGTACCGAATTTCTGGAACTGTTAAGAAAAGATGAACTTTGAAACCATATACTTCTCTTCTTCTCTCACTTTCTCTTTGTATGAGGTGCCATAATCTTTTAACTATAGTCTGAGTGCTCCTATCCCCAAGCGATGCTGCCTGGAGAATTCTGGGGCTGAAAATCTTTGGGGCACCCAGGGGAAAAATGGCTGGGACTCATGGCAAGTAGCATTTCTATCATCTACCATCGCAAAAATGCAAAGAACACTCCCCAAAAGATTTTTACATAATTGCCCAATTTCTACAAAGATAAATATCCAGGAACTTCTTACGCTGAAGGGCAGATAGCAATTATCAAAGTAATATGTTCCAATCTTTTCTTTCCTCTTCCCCATCTAATACCATTACAAATTCTGTGTAGTCAAATTAAACAGTCAATTTCTCAGCTGGATTTACAATGGGACATTAAAATTAAATTCAAGCCGACTCTACACTTCTCACTTGAGGCCTCATGTGGATTTTCCTGTGTGCGATAAGGGTGGAATGTTGCCTGAAGCATCGTCCACACTCGGGGCACTTAAATGGTTTCTCCCCTGTGTGTATAAGGACATGATTCATAAGGCTCATCCTAATACTGAGATCTTTCCCACAAACAGGACATTCAAAGGGTTATTCTCCTGTGTGAGTCCTCTGGTGTTGAACCAAGCTGGAATTGTGACTGAAACTTTTCCCACAGTCAGGACATTCAAAGGGTTTCTCTCCTGTGTGAGTCCTCTGGTGTTGAACCAAGCTAGAACTGCGACTGAAACTTTTCCCGCAGTCAGGACACTCAAAGGGTTTCTCTCCCGTATGAGTCCTCTGGTGTTGAACCAAGGTAGAATTTTGACTGAAACATTTCCCACACTCAGGACATTTAAAGGGTTTCTCTCCTGTGTGGATTCGCTGGTGTTGTACCAAGTTGGAATTATGACTGAAATGTTTCCCACAATCAGGACATTTCAAGGATTTTTCTCCTGTATGGATTCGCTGGTGTTGAATCAAGCTGGAATGATGACTGAATCTTTTCCCACAGACAGGACACTGAAAGGGTTTCTCTCCTGTGTGAGTTCTCTGGTGTTGAACCAGGCTGGAATTTTGACTGAAACTTTTCCCACAGTCAGGACACTGAAAGGGTTTCTCTCCTG